CTAACTGATGGAGCTTTTAGCTAACAGCTGGAGCTGTTGGCTAACTGATGGAGCTAATGGCTACCAGCCGGAGCTGCTGGCTAACAGCTGGAGCTGTTGGCTAACTGATGGAGCTAATGGCTACCAGCCGGAGCTGCTGGCTTACAGCTGGAGCTGTTGGCTGACTGGTGGCCTTGGTGAAGCCCGTAGAAGTTCTGATTACTAATACTTTCCCAGAAGCTAGCAGTTTATAAGAAGCTGGTTTACATAAAAAAAAAAAAAAAAGTAAACTATTAGTTGAAAAAGTGTTTGAGTTTCAGTAGAATCAAAGTAGCGATTTTTGCTTACAAACTATGTAATAACTATAATGTTTGCATGATATTGGCTAAATTAAGATATATTAGTTGTAATGTCCTAAATACAGTAAAGCAACATATTAGAATTATTCATAAACATCAAAACTTTTCTTTACAAATCAAAGGACCACTGATGATAAAATATGTGGCTGAAAAGTTTCCATCAATGTTTAAGTAGTGCGGTCTGTATGTATAGAGTTGGAGCACAGGAATAAATCTGAAGTATTTCCTCTTAACTTCCATTTTCTAAAAATTGTACAAAGCGATACCAACACTTCGGAGTAACGGCGATGGCGTTAGGGGATGAGTTTTCTATTTGCTATGCATTAGAAAGGCATCAGGAGGCAACAGGTTGCTACAAGAGAAGAGAGAGTGACGACACGGCAACAAGCTGAGCACCGAACACACAGAACTGCAGAATCTGATTTTAAATGCAGCGGAATATTTTAGAAACTGCTAAAAACATGCAAACCAGACCGTCACAGAAACATCTGAAATGGAACATAGAGTCTAGCAGAGCGGCTTGGTGTAGAAACCAGAACCAGAACATCTCTTCATCTTTTTCTCTGTTAGGCGTGAGACTGCATCACTCTTATCCACTGGGTTTCTTTTTTAAGGTAAAACAAACAGGATGCACATTTCAGACGCGCAAACAATCTAAACATCTTCCTCATCTCCCTCTGGACTCGTTTGATGATTCTCAACTTCAGCTGACCTTCTGCCGAACATTTTTTCATCCTTTTAGTCAAAACACATCAGATATTCAACCCCAACTGTAAAATTAATCTTTTTCACTGGAAAAACGATCTAGAAATAAGTAAAATTTCTTAACTTAAGTGTATTTATCTTAAATTTGACTAGGGAAATGAGATAGTTTGCCAAAGGAATGAGTTTTTTCACTTTTAAGATAAGATAATTAATAAAATGCACTTGAAATAAGACGATGCAATTGTGTTTTCTTATTTTAAGTGTAAATTGTCTCATTCCATTGGCAAAATTTATCTTTTACCTCCTCAATTCAAGAACAAATGTACTTATTTTAAGAAAGAATGACTTGTCTAGATTTCGATTTATCCATTTTTACCTCAGCATTCTACAACCTTCTTCCTCCCTTCTCAGTTTGCAGGAACATGTGCGTGTTTTTCAAAGATTTTCTGAGCACTATTCGATGAAAATAAAACACCTGTTATATTGCTGTTTTTATTAAGAGTATTGAATAAATACAACCTAGTTCTATCATCAAGGGACAACATGGAAAGCAGGAAAAAAAATAAAATAGTTGATCCAAACGTATCAGAATCTCATTTCTACATAAAAACTTTTCAATCAAACACCTCGTCACAAACACAGAGAATAAAGAGTTAAAACGATTCAGACTTCTTTTTTCTTTTTTGTTAGCTTGTACATGAGGATGAAAGAGAGAGTTGGAGGAAGCCATGATGAGATGGACACTGAATTATTTAAGTATGCGCTTACTGAGGGAAAACGTTCCTAAAGTCACGAGGAAAAGCAGGAGATGAAGGTGGTTTTCTAGAAGAGTTGACGATTCCTCAGAAGTAAAAGCCGTCCTGGATTTTTTCCTTCACATAGAGTACCGATCAGGACCAAAGCAGAGTTACTTCAGGTAAAATATATGAAAGGGGTGACGGTAATGACGCATGATGATGTGAGAGAAGAGCTACTGAACAATTCTAATTTTTGCAACAACAGATTTGAGATAAACGGGGGTTTAAAAAGGTCAGGATCCCATCGCAGAGCTGCTGCTCCTACTGCCGTCCGCCACGGACCTCCACCTGTAGGTGCAGCAAAGAAGGGGGGAGGAAACACTGCGAGGATCTGGGTGGTGGCTTTGGTTGTCGTGCATGAAGAACAGGATCCGTCGCCGGAGGGGAGAGAGAGAGGGGGCTGGCCGAATGGTGATGTCAGCGCCGTGGTCCGTGCGAGAGCGAGCATTCTCGCGGAAGTTGAGCTTGAAAGACTCAATCTGCAGCAGAGGGGTTAAGGTTAGGGGAGGAGGGGGGTTGGGGAGGGAGGGAGTAAAAGTGAGGCAAGGAGAAAAAAAAAAAAGATTTACAGTAAGGAAAATAAGGGGGGAAGGGGAGGCGGTGAAGTTAAAGGGGGGCAGTTGAAATGAGGAGGGCAGAGGGATAGCAGAATTAGATGCCTGTAAGATAAAAAGTCAAAATATAATCAGATGGACAGCAGACATGATTAGCTTAAAAACATTCAGACACAATGAGGGCTAACATTAGCTCCAACCTCCCAAAAAATGTCGGAATTGATCGTTGTTTTATATTTCTTTTACTAAACTGTGACGAATTATAGACATTTAGTAAAAATCGTGGCATAAAGATACAAATATAAAATCTTAGAGTCAGTGCTTACTGATGGGCTTTTGAGAAAGTTACGAATTCTTCTTATTATGTTAAACTTCACGGTCCACACTTCAAGATATAACAAATGGCTAGTACTTTTTAAAATTTATATTAAGTGTTTTTAATTCTATTTAGTATTTTCAGTCCAACCGGATAACGCATAATCGCATAATGTATTGCAATTATGCAGACGATGTGTTGGTTTGCTACGCAAAGTGAAGTCGCGAAATGAGGGTGAACATCGGTCAAGATTTGAAGTGTCTTGTCGACGTACGGAGAAAATACACCGTTAAAACGCGTAAGCTCAACACAGCAGCGTGCCTAGGTCACGTATGTGAGCGCTCTCATTTTTGATCAGTCAAGTTGTTTACGCTAGCAGCGTAATTGCGAAATGAGGGTAAACGTCAGTCAAGATTTGGAGTGTCTTGTCAACGTACGGAAAAAAATTCACCAGATGCGTTAAAACTCTTAAGCTCAACACAGCATCGTGCGTAGGTCACACATGTGGGCGCTCTCATTTTTGATCAGTCAAGTTGTTTATGCTAGCAGCGTAATAGCGAAATAAGGGTAAACATCGGTCAAGATTTGAAGTGTCTTGTCGACGTACGGAGAAAATACACCGTTAAAACTCGTAAGCTCAACACAGCAGCGTGCGTAGGTCACGCATGTGAGCGCTCTCATTGTTGATCAGTCAAGTTGTTTATGCTAGCTGCGTAATTGCGAAATGAGGGTGAACATCGGTCAAGATTTGAAGTGTATTGTCTACGTACGAGGAAAATACACCGGACGCGTTAAAACTCGTAAGCTCAACACAGGAGCGTGCGTATGTTACAGAGCACTCTTTTTTTTGATCAGTCAAGTTGTTTATGCTAACAGCGTAATATATGTGTCCATCGCTGTTCTTCACATTAAGCTTCGCCTAAATTAGGTTGAAGTTGTTATTTAAGTCATCGTAGGCAACTGTTTGGTAAGGAATAAAAAAAAGAAAATGGCCTCCAGAGATAAATCATCAGCAATTTTTAGTAGTTGTGATAAGCTAACAAGCTAACATACTAAAAATTTTTATTTCTAACCTGATGGTTAAGGCACTGACCTATAGGTGATCTAAACACGATATATTACTTGTAATTTTAAAACCTTTTCTATGTTAGAGGTCAAAGTTCTTCAATTGATCAGTGAGAGCGCAGATCTACGCCTCTTGCTTGCTTGGCGAGCAAGGTTATGCTGAGATGAGGGCGTGGTTAGCTGCTGAAGGCTAAGCCGTCCTAAATAACAGCTGATCATCTCCGGCTTTCATTGTTTTTGAGGTAAGGCCCACATAGAACGAAACCTGTGAAAGGATGCAGCCCCTGAATCGCAAACACCCATAGCTGTGGAGCAAACGTTGAAGCGTCTTTTAAAACCACGCACATAAGTGTCCTTATAGTGTAGTGTATTTACAGCAGTCAGGAAGCACAGAGGCTCAGAAGGCAGGTGGAAGTTTCTCTTTTTCCACAGAATGAGAGAATGAGAGTGGGCTAACACGCCAGTCATTGGCTGGGAGGAGTTAAATTTGTAGCTATAAAATTTTCCTCTATCCTCAAAGTCATTTAAAAAAAATTAAAGAACAATCCACTGGACTTTGTTTCCAAGTTTGAAGACGTTTCGCTTCCCGTCCAGGAAGCTTTTTCAATTTAAAATGTCAGAAATTACCAAAAACAAAGCCTTGTTTTGGCTTAGAAAACATGCAAATTGAACCGGACGAATGGGTCCACCCTTATCTTTGTTAGCCTGTAATACCCAAAACCTGTCTATGTTTCTGAAAGGGAGGTCATAGGGGAGACATAGACAGGTTTTGGAGAGGCTAACAAAGAAACAAAATGACCCCGATTCCATAAGGACGGACTTGTTCGTCAGGTTTGTTTTTTAAGTCCCTTCTATAAAGCCTGGAACTCGAGGCTATTTCTGACATTTTGAATTGAAAAAAACTCCCTGGACGGGAAGCGAAACGTCTTCAAACTTAAAAACCAAGTTCTGTGGACTTTTTTTAAAAACCTTTTTAAAATGATTACGACTTGAATGACTCAGAAAGACGATTTCGGGGAATATAAAATTTGTAGCATCTTTGACTTTTTTCCATCAGGCTCTTCCGTCTTTGAGGGAATCAAACGTAAGGAACCGACTCTAAACTCATGACTTTAAACAAACACAGACTTACTTGTTTCTGGCATTTGGGAGTCCAGAGCTTGAGGCTCCCGGAGGCCCTCACCATCACTGGGAGCTCCATCCTTCAACCCATTCTCCTGGGTATTAGGGTCCCCTCCTGGCCCTGACTCGGGGGCCGGAGCCAGGCTGCTAATCATGGGAGTCCCAGTCCCCTCGGTCTGCTGGGGCCCCTCAGCCTAAAAACACACAGCAGAGCATGGCAGCTGGTTCAGAACAACCTGGATAAACTGTTACCGTTTTGCTGTGAGGCTGAATGCAACCTAAACTATAAAGCTCAATTTGGTAAAACTTAAACCATGAGAAAAATTTTTTTTAAACAGTTTTAAAACAACAAAAACATCAGAGCTGTAGTCCTTAAAACAACCCAAACCAAAGAAAGGAAAGAAACCGTTACGTCCAGGTATGTGTCCATTTGAATCTGTTGCTACACACTGCCAGTCAGCATGCTGAAAAAGG